TAGCAGGAGGAGGGAGGGAGGGACGAGGAGGGAGCGGAGAAGGGAAGGAAGGAAGAGGAAGAAGGAGGAAGAAGAAGGAGAGTGAGAAGAGGAGAAGGAAGGAAAGAAGGAGAAAAAAAAAGAAAAGAAACAAACAAATAGTAACTAAACATAATAAAACAAAATGTTTTAAATGCAGCCCGTAATTGTCCAGAGAGTGATACAGGTAGGTAAGTGCTAAAAAAGTTCAATTAATAAAGACATTGGTTAAGGCAGACAGTGTTAGAAAGATAAGTCAAAGAAATTAACTGCCAAAATATGTTTCAATACAGAGTAATAATAACCATTAATTTATTGCATTATATTATGAAATGAGCAAAGCGCTAGAACTTAATGTCAGTAACTGGGGCCCAATTAGAAATACACCTAAAAACCTACACATTTACTCATGTATGCATGTGCTCTGATGTGCACCCCCACACAAATGTAGCTCTGGCAGAAAATCTCCTAAAATTCTATAATCTAAGGTATATAAAAATAAGCCACTTAGCACACTGCAGTAAAAGGGTCAAGCACCTAGGTGTAGCTTTTGAAATTCGGAGAGACCTAGACAAGTCAATAGTTTCTGCAATCCTGAGTGTACTTATCTACAAATAATTAAGATTTATTTCTCAGCTAGTTATGCCTAAGCTTGATACATTCCTATCTCCTTTCCATCTTCTGTTCTGAAGTGTCATTCTCAGAGGTTGTTTCCAAGTCTGAAGAGACCACCAGCAGGAAGGTCCTTCCCTGGTCGTCCCCAACACCAGCTCCCCACACCCTTCAGCTTCGAGAGCACACTGGGTTGCTCAAGGCCTTGCGGCCAATCACGGCCTGATTGGTAGCACTTTAGACAGGCAAGAGGAAGACATGGAACCACAAATACTATCTACTTCTCCCTTCTCCCAAGGAGATTTTTCCACACCCAAAAAAGGACTCAGGCACTTTTGTGCTGCCCTCTCCTCACTAGGCTTTTCGAAGCAGCATCAGGCTTCCACTCTGCAGTAGTCAAAGTGTGAAGAATCAATCCAATCATTCAACAACCTTACACTAAATACCTACTATGTGCCAGGCACTGGCCTAAGGGCTGGGGTTGAAACGATAACCAACACACAATAGCTACCTTTGAGAAGCTCATGGTCTAATGTGACACATACACACGTGACAGACAATAACAACTGAGACTCAAATTTCTCCAGACCCTCCCAGACACAGTCTTCCTGGCCTCCATTTGTTCTCATGGGTACCAATAAGTTCACATTAAAATGACACTAAAAATCAAAATCTCCTGGCCCAGAAATTTCACTAGAGAATTTCACCAAACATTTAAAGAAGACCTAACACCAATTTGACACAACCTCTTCCAGAAAACAGAAGAGGAGGTGATGCTTCAAAATTAATTTTATGAGGCTACTATTGCCCTAATACCTCAATCAGACAAAGACAGCACAAATCAGTATCTCTCATTAACTTAGATACAAAAATCCTCAACAAAATATTAGCAAATCAAATCCAGCAATGTATAAAAAGAATAGTACACTACAACCATGCTGGATTATTCAAAGTATGCAAGGCTGTTCAATAATAAAAATGAATCATTGTAATCTACCATATAATAGGCTGAAGAAGAAAAATCATGGTCATATGAACACACACAGAAAAGCATAAAATTCAATACCCATTCATGGTAAACATTTCTCAGCAAACTAGGAATACACAGAAACTTCCTTAACATCAAAGAGCCTCTACCAAAAATCCTACAGTTAATATCATACTTAATGGTAAATGACTGAGTGCTTTCATTCTGAAATCAGAAATAAAGCAGTGATGCACACTCTTCATTCAACATTACGTTGGAAGTTCTAGCCAGTCAAATAAGGCAATAAAAAGATATAAAGGGCACACAAACTAAACAGGAAAAAATAAAACATTGTTTCTTTACAAATATAATTATCCACATTAAAAAAAAAATCCCAAGAAATCTACCAAAACACTCCTATAACTAACAAGTGGGTTCAGTAAGGTCACAGGATACAAAATTGACACACAAAATCAATTGTATTTATATATACTTACAACAAACAAGTGGAAACCAAAACAAAAAACACCATACCATTTATAATTGCACCAAAGAAAATAAAATATTTAGGTATAAACCTAACAATGTATGTATAGCTTCTATAGGCTAAAAATTGCAAAATCTTGAAAGATATCAAAGAAGACCTACATAATTAGAGAGATATACTATGTTCAAAGACTGGAAGACTTGACATAGTAAAGATGTCAAGTCTCCCTAAATTGATCTATTGCCTCAATGCAATTTCTATCAAAATCTCAGCAAGTCTTTTTGTAAACATGGACAATCTTATTCCAAAATTTATATTTAAAGAAAAAGTCTCTAAAATAGCTAAAATGGTTGTGAAAGAGAATATAGTAGGAGAAATCATTCTTACCACTTTAAAGCTTATAATATAGCTATAGTAGTCAAGACAATGTGGAGGATAGACATATAGATCAAGGGGACAGAATAGAGAACCCAGAAATGGATCCACACAAATACACTCAATTAATTTTTGACAAAGATGTGAAAGCAATTCAATGGAATAGAATAGCCTTTTTTTTTTTTTTGAGACAGAGTCTCACTTTGTTGCCCAGGCCAGAGTGCCATGGCGTCAGCCTCGCTCACAGCAACCTCAAACTCCTGGGCTCAAGCGATCCTCCTGCCTCAGCCTCCTGAGTAGCTGGGACTACAGGCATGCGCCATCATGCCCGGCTAATGTTTTCTATATATATTAGTTGGCCAATTAATTTCTTTCTAGTTATAGTAGAGACGGGGTCTCCCTCTTGCTCAGGCTGGTTTCGAACTCCTGACCTCGAGCAATCTGCCAGCCTCGGCCTCCCAGAGTGCTAGGATTACAGGCATGAGCCACCGTACCCAGCCAGAATAGAATTTTTAACAAATGCCAGCCAGAATAGAATTTTTAACAAATGCCAGCCAGAATAGAATTTTTAACAAATGCTCCTAGAGGACTTGGACATCACATAGGCAAAAATAAAAGAAAATCTGAATCTGTTATAACATTGCATACAAAAGTTAACTCAAATGGACCATGAACTTAAATATAAAAACATAAACCTATAACATTTTTTAAAAAATCATAAGAAATTCATTTTTTCAAGACCCAGAACCTGGCACAGAGCTCTTAGATTTGACACTGAAAGCATAATGCCTAAAAGAAAAAATAGATAAATTGAAACTCTTCAAAATTTAAAACTTTGGCTATGCAAAAGACTCTGTTAAGAGGGTGAAAACACAAATCACAGATTAGGGACAAAAGACTAGTATCTAAATTATATAATGAACTCTCAAAATTCAACAATAAAAAATCAAATAATGCACTTAGAAAATGAGCAATGGCATGAACAGACATTTCTTGGAAGAGGATGTATGTATGGTTGTGATTGAGTTATGATGGGCATGTCAGGAGGGAGTGGCAGCCATGTCCCAGATACTTGTCATCCAGGCCCTATAGGACAAAAGAGGCTGTGTTATAGTACCTCCATGTTGGCCAAAGCTTTGTGTTTAGGGCCAATAAAGCAGTAGTTGCAAAAAACAAGAAAAAAAAAAGAAGAAAAAGCATTTATTTATTTTTTAAAGCCTCAAAATAGTCATCAAGGGAGAAAACCAGATCATTGTATACTTATTTATGTTTTTTAAAATAAGTTAGGGGGGTAATAAAAATATGGGAGTGGTATGGGAAGGTCAAAATAATCTTTTTAGTGTTTTGAACTTCTAACCATCTAAGCACTCACTGCTGAAAGTGAAAAGGGAAGGGTTCTGAGTGTAGCATGATCCCCATCACATTTCCTGGCCTAGCTCCATTAAACACTTGTCCTATAAAGGATTAGAATATGTGCACTAGTGGCCAGGAGCGGTGACTCATACCTGTAATCCCAGCACTTTGGGAGGCCAAGGCAGGAGGATTGCTTGAGTCCAGGAGTTTGAGACCAGCCTGAGCAACAATGAGACCCTATCTCTACAAAAAATGGAAAAATTAGCTGGGAGTAGTGGCAAGTCCCTATGGTCCCAGCTACTAGGGAGGCTGAGGCAGAAGGATCCCTTGAGCCCCAGAGTTTGAGGTTGCTATGAGTTATGATGACAATACTGCACTATACTGCACTCCAAGCAGCAGAGTGAGACCTTGTCCTCGCTAGAGGAGGAGGGAGGGAGGGAGAGGGAGGAGGGAGAGGAAGGAAGGAGGGAGAAGGAAGGAAGGAAGGAAGAAGGAAGGAAGGAAGGAAGGAGAAGGAGAAGGAGGAGAAGGAAGGAAGAAGGAGAAGAAGAGAGAGAGAGAGAAAGAGAGAAAAGAGAGAGAGAGAAGAAAGAAGATGCACTGACTCATGGCAATGCAGCTAGAAAAGAAAAATTAAACTAAAGCCACTTGCAAATCAGTAAATTTACCCTCTCCCTAGCAGAGCCAGATCACCAACATGAATTGAACTACTTTTCATGGTATGAGGAGTTATCTAGGCAAAGAAGGGGACAGGGATGTGCAGAGACAGGACAAAGCAGAGAAATAGACAATAATAGAGACTTCAACACCGCACTTTCAATGATGGATTGAACAATTAGGCATAAGATCAACTAGAAAAAAGACTTGATCAAAAACCAACTAGACCTAACAGATATCTACAGAACATTCTACCAAACAACAGCAGGATACACAATTTTCTCAAGTTGTTATATAAATTGGCAAAAGATGGTCTCCGGTTTACTTCTTTACAGCTGGCTAGGACCAGCTGCCCAAACTGAATACTTAAACATCCAATTGCCCTTTAATATGTCCTAAAAAGCACAGTTTTACCTTGACAGCCTGCCTGCTTTGTATACCTGCAAACCCACACCCAATATCTGCTAGCCATAGATAAACAAACCCTGTGGTGGGAAAAGACCAAACCTTAGAAGCTATCTGATCCAGAGCTCCCCACCTTGCTGATTATAATGGCATATGATGGATCCACCACTTTTATTCAACACAGTACTGGAAGTTCTAGACAACACAATAAGGAAAGAAAAGAGAAAAGAAAAATTAGAATGAACATATCCTAATTCTTATTTTATAATGAGCATATGCTACTCTCATCTATCAGTACTTCTTATTATTATATAACTTTATAATATATTTCTTTTTTTTTTTTTTTGAGACAGAGTCTCACTTTGTTGCCCAGGCTAGAGTGAGTGCCATGGCGTCAGCCTAGCTCACAGCAACCTCAAACTCCTGGGCTCAAGCGATCCTCCTGCCTCCACCTCCCTAGTAGCTGGACTACAGGCATGAGCCACCATGCCAGCTAATTTTTTTTTCTATATTAGTGCCAATTAATTTTTTATTTATAGTAGAGACGAGGTCTCACTCTTGCTCAGGCTGGTCTCGAACTCCTGACCTCGAGCAATCCGCCCGCCTCTGCCTTCCAGAGAGCTGGGATTACAGGCATGAGCCACCACGCCCGGCCCTATAATATATTCTTATTATATACTCCTTCTTATTCATAACCAGTCTGTATCCGCATGCAGAGTTCTCAATGGTTCTGTAATGGGTAGAGAAGGAAAGGCTGTGACCACAGTGACAACAGCCCCCTCTGCCTCCTGGAGGAACCACTGCAGGTGATGAACTAAGGGAAACCACCTGTCCTCACGCTCCCTGCACAAGCCAGTGAGGGTTCTCCAGGCAGGATCACCACCAATTCAAGTTGGCTCCAGGCCAGACATTGAGACAGGTGCAGTGGCGGAATGAAAGATGATTAGAAGAGGGTCTCTGCTCTCGGTGGGTTTGCAATGAGTGGCTGACAGATATATACTTTTCAGCACCTTCAATACAAAGCAGTCTGGAATAGACGCAGGTGCAAAAAACTGTGGGAGCAAGAGGCTAAAAGGGATGCATTGCCACTAGGGCTCTGAGAAAGCCTGGCAAGTGAACAAACAGTCGAGGGGTGGGATTTCTGCAGCTTAAAGTGAAGACAGGACTGGGCATGGTGGTACACTCTGCAGTCCCAGCTACTGGGGATGCTGAGGCAGGAGGATAGCTTGAGCCCAGGAATTCAAGGTTACAGCAAGCTATGATAGCACCATTGCACTCCATCCTGGGTGACACAGCAAAACCCTGTCTCTATATACATACATACATACATACATACATACATACATATATACATATTAATACAGGGCTTTGCAAGCAGACGGGATGGCCCAGAAGTCCTTATTCGTCCTTATTTGTAAAATGAGGATTATAATAGTACACCTACCTCATAGCATTGTTTTTAGCATTAAATATATGTAAAGTACGTGGCACTCATCGGGGCTATAAAATGTTCTAGCTATTGTCATGGGCAGGAAGCAGAGTAAGAGGGAAAGCCAGAAGTGCACACTGGAGGGCAAAAATAACTGTGTCCTCTTGTTGTTTCTTCTGTAACTGATCTTGTTTCAAGCCCCCAAGGAGGACAAATATCTAAAGTCAAGAGAAAATAGGAATATTAGTATTTTTCTTTCACAAGAATGGGACTTCTATGGGACTGAATTGCAGTATGATCTTGGCAGCTAACCTGAAGTATAGGAATTATGATGGCAAGTCCTTGGCTTTAACTAAAAATAAAAAATACAGGGCAGTGTTTCCCAAGGATACCCCCAGTGAAGCAATGGGCCTCCCCACACAGTGTAGGGAGGAGGAAGCTGGGACAGTGGTGGCTGCTGCTATACATTCATAGATAAAGCAAGTAGTTGCTTTTGACTTAAATGTCTTCATCTATAAACTGTGGATGGTGATACCTATTCCTGGGGGTCTTTTTGAGAATTAAATGATACCAGACATAAAACGTGCCAATGCCTTGGCACACTATAGAGGTTTGATAAATATTAACTATTTTTATAGCTAGGACAGTGGGAACTGGCTTGCTTGGGACGGCTTGTCTGGCTTCTAACTGTGTAAAGAAGAGACTTCTTAGAGGAGGCACTGGGGAAAGGAAAACAAGGAGAGGGGAGGGGAAGGAGCCCCAGCAAGGATTTAAGTGTGGTTTTCCCTCCTGCTGAGAGGGCCCCTGCACTCAATAAACTCGAATGACCCTAGCTGAACTTCCAGGCTTGAAAGTATAGTTGGTTTTTAAAAGGAGTTTTTCTTTTTCAAGATCAATTGTTCGACAGAACTGAAAAGCTTGCCCTAGGAAGAAGCTCAATCCTAAAACCTGCAGGGTAAACCATTAAAAGAAGGAATGTGCCGGTTCTCAATAGGGAGCAGGGAGCACCAGGCGTATGCTGCCTGACCGCTGCGACTCTGCTGCCTCTTCTACTCTAAATTAACCAGAAATCTGAGAATCTGAAAGCTGAGCCCTAGCTAATATTATTTAAATCTGAGGTCCCCAACCCAGTTAGGCCTGTTAGGAACCGGGCTGCACAGCAGGAGGCGAGGGTGGCAAAGGAAGCTTCATCTGTATTTACGGCCTCTCCCCATCGCTCACCATCACTGCCTGAGCTCTGCCTCCTGTCAGATCAGCAGGACAGTAGATTCTCACAGGGGCTGGACCCCTACTGTAAACTGTGCATGGTAGGGATCTAGGTTGCAGGCTCCTTATAAGAATCTAATGCCTGATGATCTGAGGTGGAGCTGAGGCGGTGATGCTAGCGCTGGGGAGTGGCTGGAAATACAGATTATCAGTAGCAGAGAGGTGTGACTGCACATAGACCATAATAAATCAATTACTTGTAGACTCATAACAAAACCCTATCAGTGAGTGGCAAGTGACAATTAAGCTGCATCTGGTGGCAGGCTTTATAGTGGCAAGCAAATCAATGTACTTCAATTGTACAGCTGCATCTGGTGGCAAGATTTAAGTCAGAATCTGGCACTTATTTTAGTCCACATGTGGCCCACCCATTATTTTATTTCCCACTTCTATCGGCGCCTCTTTCCTGCACACTTGTCTCAGTCACAGTTTGGTAAAGCCCATAAGCTAACCCTAGCAAAAATGAGTAAAAACCAAACATCACTGGAGACCTACTTTGAAAATGGGGAAAGACCCAGTGATGAGACAGCAGAAGACTCTAAAACTGCCAACAAAATGAAAGCTGCATTTAAAAGAAAATACCAAGAGTCCTACTTAAATTACGGGTTCATTGCAACAGGTAATTCACATTCTCCAAGCCTACTTTGTATAACATGTGGCAACCGGCTATCCAACAAAGCCATGAGAACTTCAAAACTGCTTCGCCACATGGAGACCAAGCAATCTGCATTAAAAGAGTTTTTCAAAAGAAAAAACATGAACATGAACATGAAGAACATAAGCAATTATTGAAGGCCACCATTTCATCAAACGTGTCTGCACTGAGAGCATCAATCTTAGTGGCTATCTGCATTGCTAAAGCTAAGAAACCCTTTACTGTTGGTGAAGAGTTGATCCTGGCTGCTGCTAAGGACATTTGCCATGAACTTTTAGGAGAGGCTGCAGTTCAAAAGGTGGCACGTGTTCCTCCTCTTCAGCTAGCACCATAACTAAAAGAACTGATGGAACAGCAGAAGATATTGAGGCACAGTTGTTACAGAGGATTAATAAGTCACCATGGTACACAATCCAGGTTGACAAGTCTACCGATGTTGACAAGGCAACAATGCTTGTTTTCATGCAATATATCTTTCAGGAGGACGTGCGTGAGGATATGTTCTGTGCACTTTTGTTGCCAACCGACACCACAGCTGCAGAACTATTCAAGTCTTTGAATGATTACATATCAGGAAAACTGAATTGGTCATTTTGTGTCAATGCATACACAGACAGAGTGGCTGCCATGACTGGACGGCTTTCTGGTTTCACTACTTGGGGTCAAAAATGTCACTTCTGAATGTGAGTCTACACACTGTGTCATCCATAGAGATATGCTGGCTAGCCGAAAAATGTCACCTAGACTACACAACATTTCACAGGATGTGATTAAAATTATCAACCACATTAAAGTACAAGCCTTTAACTCATGTCTGTTCATGCAGCTCTGTGAGGAGATGGACCCAGAGCACACACATCTTCTCTAATACACAGAAGTGAGATGGCTTTCTACAGATAGATCACTGGCCAGAGTTTTTGAGTTACAAAAGCCACTCCAGAGATTTCTTTTAGCAAAACAGTCACCACTGGCAACACATTTCACTGACACAGAATGGGCTGCAAAACTTGCTTATTTGTGTAACACATTCAACCTGCTCAACAAACTCAATCTGTCACTTCAGGGGAGAACTACAACTGTGTTCAAGTCAGCAGATAAAGTGGCTGCATTCAAAGCCAAACTGGAATTATGGGGCAACAAGTGAATACTGGGATTTTTGTCATGTTTCAAACAGCAGAGATTTTGAATGAGAATGAGCCAGGGACTTCTTTCTCCAAGCTGGTGCATGATCACCTATCTCAGCTTTCAAAAGAGTTTGAGCATTACTTCCCAAACATAAAATACCACCAAATTGGGAAGGAATTGATCCACAATCCATTTATGAATAAGCCAGGTCAATCAACTTTGCCCATGCTAGAAGAGCATCAACTGCAACTGACGGCGGCCTTACAAGTGTGTTTGAGACAACTTCAAATCTCCATACTCTCTGCATTAAAATCAAGATGGAATATCCTGAGATTGCCACAATAGCATTGAAAAGCCTGCTTCCATTTCCAACATCGTATCTTTGTGAAGCAGGGTTTTCTACAATGACAGCAAACAAAATGAAATTATGCAGCAGACTGGACATAAGCAACACATTTTGGGTGTCACTGTCTCCCATCGTCCCCAGATGGGATTGTCTAGTTGCAGGAAAACAAGCTCAGGGCTCTCACTGATTCTGCATTATGGTGAGTTGTATAATGATTTCATTATACATTACAATGTAATAATAATAGAAATAAAGTACACAATAAATATAATGCACTTGAATCATCCCAAAACCATTCCCCCACCCTGCTACCCCCAGTCCATGGAAAAATTGTCTTCCATGAAATCGGTCCCTGGTGCCAAAAAGGTTGGGGACCACTGATTTAAATGAACCAGCTGTTACATGAACCTTAAACCACATGTCATTTAGTTGTGGGGCTGCCCTGGTCTAAGAGACATTAATGCAGAGGGCTCCCAGCTTACGAACGGGTTGTGTTCCAAACATGCATTTGGAAGGCTGTGGCTTGAAAGGCAGAAGGCACTTTCCCAAAGAAGCAACGTTATAAATGGCAATTAGGGCCAAAAGCCAGCTCACAAAAAGCCATGTAACCATAAAAATTGCTAAATACTGTACATTTTAGCCAAAAAGAGTAGAAATCAATAATGCTATAATATTAATAATTAAAGGATGAGATAAAAAAAAATAAAGCTGAGTATCTTTCATTTGTCTTTTTAAGCTTTCAGTGCTTAAGCAAAGGCAGATTTAATTAAAGGAGGATGAAAATGTCTACCCAGTTAGGCAGAGGGGCCAGGGACCTGGGGCTGTAGTCAGGAATCCTGGTCTTGAACTTCCAACTTGGGGAATTTCTGCCAGATCTAAGGGGCAATAGTGTCTACACCTGAAAACCAACATAGCACCAGAGAGGAGTTTGGGGAGGGCGTGGAGTGGAGGGTTGGCATGTCTGAAAAGGAGTTAGCCTGGACATTTCCATGTAGCCATGTCATCACCCAAGGTGGGACCTGGCTTCCCTGTCCCTCCCCCTCTTAGATGATTATTCCCCTTAACGACAAGTCTACCTCTGGCCCCAAGAAGCATCGGAGTCCAGAACTTTTGATGCCTTTTTCATACTGATTTCTGAGATCAGATAAGCTCCTGGATATTCTCGCAGCCTGGATGGATTTGAATTTGACCCTCCTGCCCCCTCTTAGATGAATCTGCACCTGCCCTTGCCTTCACAGAGGTGTGGCCCCGCCCATGGCCTGGACTCTCCCTCCGCCACCCTCCTCCACGCGTGACCAGCACTGCCCATAGCTGGAGACATTCTGAATCACTTACTTCAGCTTAATGCTGAGAATCAAATACACATTTTCCCTGTCAAAATAAAAAAGATGAGAAAAGAGGTAAGGAGTGAATCGAAAAAGGAAGTTACTTGAAAAAAGATCATTTGTAAAGTAATGCCCTGAGGTTCTGCAAGATCTAAACATTAGGTGGCACCACTGTCCAGGCAGTTCAGTTGCCCCTAAAAGGCGGAGGAGAAAATCGGGAAATTAGTAAGTGGTCATGGTGCGAGTAGGAAGGCTAAAGGGAGCCACTGTGGAACAAGTAGCTTAACATGTAGAGGCGTCCCTGTGAAGCGTGCACTCTGCATTAATTCACATACACATACATGCAACCATTCACTCCCTTAACATTACAAAAAGCCTCATAGTTTTATTTATTTGAATTGGTTTATATCCCTTGCCCACTTTCTATTGATTTATGCTTTTTAAAAAACTAATTTCTAGCAGTTCTATTTATCCTGAATACTAACTTTTTTAAAAAAGAAAAACAGGTCTCACTCTGTCACCTGAGCTGAAGTGCAGTGGTGCGATCACAGCTCACTGCAGCCTCTAGCTCCCGGGCTCAAGCGATGCTCCTGCCTCAGCCTCCCAAGTAGCTGGGATCATGCCACCATGCCTAGTTATTTTTTATTTTTTAAGTAGAGATGGGTGTCTCGCCTTACTGCCCAGGCTGGTCTTGAACTCCCAAAGTGCTAGGATTACAGGTGTGAGCCACTATGCCCCTGAGTACTAATCTTGTGTCAGTCAGTTATATAAAAACACATTCTCTTGGTCCATGGCTTGTCTCTTGTTTAATGGCAACTTTCTATTGTACAAATATTTTCTATTTTAATATAGTATAGACTATTACTTTTTTTCCTTTGTGGTTTGTTCATTTTGAGTCTTGTTTAATATACCTTTTCCTATCTTGAGATCATAAAGATAATCTCTTAAACCATCTTCTTCAACTTTTGCTTTTTAACCACCTGTTTTTTCTTGGGGTGGATAATTATTGTTCTTATGGATACACTAATTACTAAATAGTCCATCCTTTATCTGCTGATTCATGAAACTAGTTTTCTATAAATGTATGTTCCCATTTAGAGTCTCTCTGTTTTGCTGCCTAGGTCCATTTGTCTATTCCTGTAGCAAATATCACACTTACTTGGCTAACTGCTTGAGCCCACTTTGTTTCTCAAACACCTTCGCCACATTAGCTCATGTCTTCCACTGCATCAGTACAATCCCTCAGGGCTCCAGACTGCAGATGACAGGAGGATGCACAGACTACAGCTAATATGCTGAAGGGATTAGTGCTAAGCAAGAGGAAAATGGTTCATCTATTGCAGGACTTAAACAGAGTCAGCTGCCAGCCATTTGATTTGGGAAACACAGTTGCAAATTAATTAACCTTGCTTCAGTGAGCTACTCCAGACAGCAGTGCCTAACTTGCTGGGAAATGCAATATGGGTTCTGGCTATCTGGAATTTGATCACAAAAGGAACCAGGTATGAGAGGAGGATAGATTAGAGCAAATCTATCATTACTGGTGGGGAAGAAATGGTCTTTTGAGAGTTTTATTCTGATATGGTTGTCAAGCAGAAACCAGAATAAACATGATTACCTTTGTGTTTACATGGGTCTCCAGTGAAATATGTGTACCCTTTTGGTGTCAAATAACCAGGGAAAAGAGTTTCAAATCAGGCAGCTAGAATTTATATAATGATGATGGGCCAGAATTTTATAGGAAAGGAACTTCTATTTCCATCTGGACCATTTTATTTTGTTTTATTTTATTTATTTGACTGTCTTAGAATAATCTAGATCGATCTGAAAATATCCTGGGCTGGAGAGAAAAAAATGTCTTTTGCCACATGAAGGCAGGCCAGAAGATAGGTAGAGATAAAACGTGTTCAAATGAACTCACTATCTTTGTTCCCCAAAATCTGCTGCTCTTTCAATATTCCCATTTTCAGGGATGCCAGCATTGTCTGCCCAAATGCCAAGCTGCTCATGCCACATGCCTGTGCACCGTCCTTGAAGATTAGTAGTAGATTCTATCACCTGAATCTCCCAGCCCCACCCACACCTCTCCATCTCCCCTCCACTCTAGCCCCACACCCACTCACTTTCACCACCAAAGCCACTGTCATCTTTAGAGCTGGAACTACAGCAATAGCTTTCTGACTGGTCTCTCTGTCAGGAGTCATAGTCATTGACCTCCTCCCTATTTTCGAAGCCAAAAGGCAAGACTGATCAGATCATTTTCTTGCTTAAAATTCTGTAATGGGGCCAGGCACGGTGGGTCACACCTATAAACCTAGCACTCTGGGAGGCCGAAGCGGGTGGATTACTCAAGGTCAGGAGTTCGAAACCAGCCTGGGCAAGAGCGAGACCCCGTCTCTACTAAACATAGAAAGAAATTAATTGGACAACTAAAAAATATAGAAAATATTAGCTGGGCATGGTGGCACATGCCTGTAGTCCCAACTACTTGGGAGGCTGAGGAAGGAAGATCCCTTGAGCCCAGGAGTTTGAGGTTGCTGTGAGCTAGGCTGACGCCACAGCACTCCAGCCAGGACAACAGAGTGAGACTCTGTCTCAAAAAAATAAATTAATTAATTAATAATAATAATAATAATAAAACTTTGTAATGGCTTCCCATTCTCCTGAGGCTACAATCCAAACTGCCAAGTTGTTTAATAGGATTTACATAGTTTATTATAGTTCTAAAAAATTAAAAGAAATATACATATATGATTACATAGACCTACTTGATCCGGCCCCACCTGACCTTTGCAGCCACTTTCTTGAGTGGTTAAGAGCCCAGGCAACAGGCTCAGTCTTCTCTGGGTTCAAACTCCCACTATAACACCTACTAGCTTTGGACTGGAACAAACTTCTGGAATTCTCTATGCTTCAGTATTCTCATATTCTCCCTCATGGGGCTGTTGGGAGGACTGAATGAATTAGCACATGTAAAGTGCCTGGAACAGCAGCTGACACACAGTGAGCCTTATATCAGTGTCCACTATGACTTTTATTTCTCCGATTCATCACGCTTTCTCCAGCCTCCAGGCCTTTGCATTCCTGGTTCCCTCCACCTGGGACACTCTTTCCAACACTCTGATCATGCTACAAGGCCTGCCTTTGAATAATGTAGGCCACAGCAACAGCCTCACCTGAAAACTTGTTAAAAAGACAAATTCTCAGGCCCCAGCCCAGACGTACTACTTTAGAAACCCTAGGGTCAGGTCCAGCCATCCAATGGAGTTTTAACAAGCCCTCCATGGGATTGGGATGCCCAGCTAAGGCTGGAAAACGGAGGCACTTACCAAGATTAGCTGTACTGAGATGCTTGTCCCTACTCCCTGCAAGGCTGTAAGTTCCACAATGGCAAAGACTGTTCGCCTTGTTAGTTAATCTCCACTGGTAGCTCCTTGCAGCTACTGGAAAATATGAGCCATCACAAACTGGAATGGAGGAAGCCATCTTTGATAGGCTGGATGATCTGACTATGCCTTCCCTCATGTTCCATTTCCCTAATGGTTGACACCCACGTTATTTCTAAAGACTTGCCTAAGTGTTCCGGCTTGTTCCCAACTTGGAGTCCAGGCTTAGCCCTGAGTGCAAAGGGGGAGAGGTGCCCCAGAAAGGCGAGGGGCGAGGGCAGGGTGCGCCCGCATCCTGGAGCTGCACGGGGCCCAGGATGTCTGCAGTCTCTCCCTGGAGCGGGGTTTCTCTCCATCCTTACTTATCTCTGGAGGAATCACACACAACTGAGGACAAGAAGGAGCAGCGAGCCCTGGCAATGGAGAGGACTAGGGATGCAGCAGAGGTTCGGTCTCAAGCGTGGGGACAGCCACCTCAACCCCTGTCTCCAAGGAACACTCTCAGATGGGAGCTGAGGGGAAGCTCTCTCTCCTCCTCCCTCCTCCCTTCCCAATCTCTCCCTCCCCTTCGCGCCCCTCCCCCTCCTCCTCGTCCTCCTCCTTTCCTTCCTCTCTCCTCCCTCTCCCGTTTTACTCCGTGTACTCCCGGTGTCTCTTCCTACCTCCCTCTGACCCCTCCCCCAACCCTGTCACCTGCTAACAAAACGGCTGGTTCCCGCCAAACGCACGGGCCGAGCTCCGGACGTCTCGTGAGCGACGCAGGCGGGCGGACTGGCCGCGTACGGAGCCGGCCGAGGCCCAAAACGAGCTGGCGGAGCGGGCGCCGCGGACGTCGAGCCCTTGTGCCGCGCGGGGAGGCCCGGCCGCGCGGGGAGGCCGGGCCGCGCGGGGAGGCCCGGGTCGCCAGCACCGCCCCCCACCCACCCCACCCCCGCCCGGCGCGGCAGGTGGCGACAGCATGGCAGCGCGGGTGGCGGCGCGCAAGGCGGCGCGGGTGCTGGAGGCGCCCCCCCAGCAGGAGCAGGTACCCGCGGGGGCGCGGGGGCGCGGGTCCAGAGGCTCATGCTAGGTCTCCAAGCCCCCGGTCCCCACTTGTGTGAGCCGGCCCTGGACAGAGGTAGGGACAGATGACCTTCTGGAAGATGCTAATGGATGCAAGTCCTCCCTTCCTCCCTCTTTCTCTCCTCCTCTCCAGTTCTCTTCTCCCTCTTCCCTCCCCTTCTTCCTTCCCTCCATCCCTCTCCCCGCTCCTCTTTCTGTTCCAGGATCATCCCCTTCCACTCCTCACTGGCCGCTCTCTCCTCCCCCCTCTTCAGTAGAAGCCTCCCGGGCCCTGGGGAAAGGCGGCGGGCACCTGAGTGGAGGGAAGGGGTGCACTAGATGCCACGGTTCTCAAACTTGAGAGTGGATCAAAACACAGGCAGGACTAGTTAAAACGCAGATCACTGGGCTCAGCCCGCAGGGCTTGTGATCCTGTAGGTCTGGATGGGACCGGATTGTTAGCTTGTCTAACTACCCTTTCCTCTTCCTGCTGATTGCAAACCCAATCTTACTTTATCTTTTATTCATAGGACAATTCTTGCGCTGTGGCTAGGTACCAGGAGGGGTTTGGGGGCAGGATACAATCAGAGGTGGGCCTTTCCTGGAGAAAGCCACATCCTTAAAACAAGGACAGAAATTATTCATTATAGCAGGTAGGAAAAGATTAATGTCCCCAAATAGGTTGGACTGTAGGATTTCTAAGAAGCAAGGGATTGCTCCTGACTGGGGGGTGTGCAAGGCGGCAGTGGCATGGCCTTAGAGCGGGTCGTTGGGGAATGTTAGAAAGTGGCTAGGATCTGGCCACATGGTCATGAGAGGGACTTAGAATGCCAGATGGAGGGAATAGCAGTACCAGGTTGTTTGGAGGTGAAAAAAATTGTTGGGGGAATGGCCATGGGAAAAGGCAGAGAGAAGGGATGCTGTGCAGTATGAATGCAGCAACCCAGGGCTCAGGAGCCAGGCTGTGGAGGGCCTCGTGTACCAAACTGTGCATATGGATTTTCTTTTCTAAGATGCAGGGAAGTTTTAAGGAAACTCTGTGAGTTTCTTGCTGGTTTCAAACCCAGATCATCCAAAGGGGGCTCTGAATTGAGAACTCTGTGTGCCAGGAGGGGCAAAGGACTTAGCACTGTCCACTTTTGCTGCTGATGTTTGCTCTTAAGACTGGCATCATGCCTTACGTGTCACAGTGAGGTGCAGGCCCTCTGCTAACTCTGTGCAAGATGCACCTACAGCTTTTCCCTTAATCCCACAACATAGCGAGACAATGTGATCTGGGTACCAGCCACCCAGGCATCACCCGGGAGCATGTTATAAATGCAGAGTCTCAGTTCCCACCCCAGACCTACTAAATCAAAATCTGCATTTTAGGTCAGTAGTGGTGGCTCACACCTGTAATCCTAGCACTCTGGGAGGCCGAGGCGGGAGGATCACTTGAGGTCAGGAGTTTGCAACCAGCCTGAGCAAGGGTGAGACCCTGTCTCTACTAAAAATAGAAAGAAATTAATTGGCCAACTAGAAAAAATTAGCCGGGCATGGTGGCGCATTCCTGTAGTCCCAGCTACTTGGGAGGCTGAGGCAGGAGGATTGCTTGAACCCAGGAGTTTCAGGTTGCTGCGAGCTAGGCTGATGCCATGGCACTCTAGCCTGGGCAACAGAACAAGACTCTGTCTCGAAAAAAAAAAAAAAATCTGCATTTTAACGAGACCCCAGGGTGATGCATTTGCACATTGAGGTTCAAGAAGTGCTGGTTTCAGCCATACTATACAAGAGCTGAGAATAAGAAAAGGAAAACAGATATTTTCCTAGTTACTGGCCAGCCTATATCTGATAGCATCCCATCACATTAAACCGTACTGTACTGTATTTTCCTTCATCATGCTTATCACCACCTGTAGCGTGTCTGTTTGTGATCTGATTGTCTCAGGACCTCCTTCGGCATGGAAGCCCCAGGAACGCAGGCACAGGCTCTGTCTTGCTAGCTACTGTATTTCCAGGACCACACTCTCTCTGGTCTGGCCGATAGCAAGAGAGTCTGGCAAATGGCAAATGGCCAGACCTCGATAATTATCTATTGAATAAATAAATGAACAGTAATATACAACGTCATAATCTGGGACCCCAGCTCCAACGTTCCTTCCTGGGTAGGCACCATCTTCCAGGAAAATGAGGAACCCCAGAATAGGGGCTGGGAAATCAGAAATAGAGTTTTAAATTTGGTCACCCCAAACCATCTGAAGCAGGTGTCTAGGCAGACCAGGGTCCCCTAACTGTGCTGCCCTACTCACTCCCCTACTCCCCTACCCACCACAGTTCCCTTGGGAGTCAGTGGGGTCAGTCCTCATCCCTGGCTTGGGCACTGCAGTGGGTTGCATTGTGTCCCCCCAAAAGATATGTCTGAGTTCTAACCCTCAGTACCTGTGAATTTGAACTTATTTGGAAATAGGGTCTTTACGAATGGGCTATTCCTTTACTCCATCTCAACCTTTCAATCCCCTCTGGGGTGTCAGTCCTACATCATCACTCTAGAGTCAATGTCTACTCACTCAGTTTATTTCCAAGTATTTTCTTAAGAGACAGAAAAGACACAAAACATTTTTTTTGTATGTTTCAGAGTTTGAGCTGCACCAGGTCTACTAGAGAGGGGCAGGTCTCCTGCGCCCGAATCTAGAGCTGTGACAATGAATTCAGACGCAGATTGTCAGTGCTGTCTGCTCTCCCTCCTTCCACCTGGCACCCAATCCGGGACCTCAGGTTTAACCACTAGGGTAATGCAAGTGTGGGGACCTCCAGGTCTTAAACGAACTTTCAGCTGAACCTTCTGTTATCAACCCCAGTTGCAACCCCATTTCTGGAAGCCTTAGGACCACCCCCAGCCCTCCTGAGGGTCTTGGCTCACCCAGCCAGCTGTTGCGCTGCCCATGTGCTGGGGGTCCTCCTTGCCCTCCACTCTGCAGTGCTGCTTTCCGCTGGCCCAAATTGGTTGCTTTAGACTCATTCTCCTTGTACTTGGAGGTTTATATCTTTGTTTTTTTCTTTGTCCTTTTGCTGTCATTCTAGTGGTATTTGTGGACAGAGAGGAGGTATATGTATATATTTGATTTATTGTGCATGTTTCACTGGAAGACCTTGTTTTTATTTGCTTTTTTGGTTTTAATGCAGTTATTACTGGTGCTCTTGAACATCTTTCCATAAATTTATTGGTCACTTGTAGCTCTTCTTTTGTGAATTTCTTATCCTGGTACTTCATCCTTTTGGAATGTTTGACTCTTTTTGATTAAATTATAAAAATCTCTTTTTATGTTTATGTTATTAACTTTTTGCCCATCACATATGTTGTGTTTTTCCTAGTTTAATTTGCCTTTTAAATATAATTATAATACATTTGATTTTATGTCCTCAAAATCTGTCAGCTTTTATACGTTATATTTTCTGGGATCTGTATTATACTTAGAAATGCTACTCCCACCACACAGTTATAACAATGTTTACCCATATTTTTTTCTAGCACTTTTAAGATTTTCTTTCTGGATTCCAGCAAGATGGCTGAGTAGAGACATTGCTTGCCATAGCATCCCAGAGGGAAGGAAGGGTTTCAGATAAAGGAGAGTGGGGAATGGGCACAGCTCAGATGTAGTTTGGAGGAGGAGGTGCCAGAGCCTGCCAGGGACTGCACAGAGGGAAATTGCAAAGCAGAATAGGAGAAAGAAAAACAGAAAAGAAGGGGAAGGATCAAACCCAGAGAGGCTCAGAGCCCAGTGAAGGTGTAAAAAGTGGGGAACCTGTTTCTCCTTTCCACGCACCTTCGGTAATCAGCGGGCTACTGAGTTGTTTGGAAGCTTTTCCACTCTGGCAAGACCAGGCGCTGCTGCATCCACTGAATTGTGTGGAGAACTGGTGTGATCCTGGAGCTTGGACATTCTGTGCAGGCTTTCTTCCAGAGAGGAGGGCTGGGGGACCCAGGGTCCCCCATCTCTTCTCTTCCACTCAGACTCCTTTCCTTCTCTGCCCCTCCCCCACCCACTGCAGCCGGGAGGGCAGATTGAAACTTTCTGGAGCGGATGCCTCTCATCAGCTGTGGCATCCTCCAGTCTGGGGTCTCCATGGAGAGTGTGCCCTCCGGGGATCTGTGGTGGACCTAGCTAGGGGTGCCCAGTCTGGGAGTTGCCTGCCTGCCAGCACTCCCAGAAGATGCACGCCGGCAGGCCAAACACACAGGCTGGCCAAATCCCGTGTCCCCAGGACTCAAGCGGGTTGCTAGGGGGGAAAGATTTGAGCTTGACTTGGGAGGCAAGGGAGCCCACACTGGTAGGACTGATGGGAGGGTACTGTGGGGGTCTGAGATGCAGTGATCTGGTGGAGTGCCTATCCCCACGTGGCCTAATCTTATGCAGAAGCACCACCCACCAACTTAAAGATTAAGCTGGGACTCCCAATACAATCCACACTGCTGGGAAGAGGAGGAGACAGCAGAATAGAAGCTACCCAAGAGACCACTGCTTTTTTGGAGAGTGATAACAGTTGCAGGCAGCTTGAGCATTAAGAGGTCTCCCTCATCTAATGCTGACCTCTGGGCTGACTGGGGAGTTGCTCTGAGACTGTGCAGAGACATTGCATTGGAGAGCAGGTGCAGCAGAGATCTCTTAGCTGCCAATCCCAGGTTTCTGCAACCAATGCCATTCTGATCTCTTTGGTGCATGAAGCCAGGTCTGCTCAGGACTCAGCCTTCCAGCAATAGCCTTTGCGTCACCCCCGCCAGGCCAGGGAGGGAGCGGATACAACAGAAGCTCCCCTGGGTTGTGCCCTGTGACTGGGGGCTGAGCTTGCCTCCTACACTGCATAGAACTTGAGCAGAGGAGGAGCCACAGATGCCATAAGCACCACCTGGGAAGCCTTGGGAGACAGCCTCAGAGTGTCCTAGGTGTGTGGGGAGAGCCGTGGCTGACCAGCAGCTCTGGCCTGCCTGCACAGTCCCTGGGCCAC